ATCTACTACCTAATGAAGGAAATCATACGGTATTTGACCTTCTCCCTCTGACTTATTTCACTTTGCATTATACCCTCAATGTCCATCCATATTGTCACAAATGGCTGGATGGGTCTATCTTATTTTTATTTGTTACAAGTTTCTTCCCCAGTATTAATGGACATTTACTTTGTGTTATTCTATTACAACCAATCCTGTAACAGCTTTCCTTGCACATAGATTTTTGGGCACATGTACAAGTGTATCTTTAGAATAGATTCCCTGAAGTGGGATTGCTGGACCCAAAAGGTGTGTACATTTAAAATTTTGACAGATAAAACCAAACACCCTCCAAATAAATTTCACATTTCCACTAGTTTATATCCCTGAGACAGCCTTTTTCCTAAGAGGAACTCTATATAAGTTGGTAAGCATTAGTTCTGCGAGTGTAGAAATGCTTTGAAAACAGTACGCAAACATAAAATCTTATTCTTATTCAACCTGTCCTCTTCTCACCGGCTCATATTCTGAAGGTGTAAATGTAATAACTCACTCCAGCATTCAGAAATTTGCTTTCCAGGATGTATGAAATATATCTGTATTCTGGGGATAATGATATAGCTGCTCTTAGACTGTTATAGGATTAAAAGAAGTAACGCATATAATGTACTTAGCAGGCACTCAGTAAATGCTGGCTTTTATTATAACAATATTCAATAAGTATTACATGCCTACTGTATGCAGGCCCTGAGCTGGGGCCCTGTATCCTTACAGCCAAACAAGACAGTCAATGTTCCTACCCAAACACAACTTACAACCTTGTGGAGGAAATAGCAATTAAAATAAGAAGTTCTAGTTAAATGTGATGAGTGGGAAGTGCAGAGTGAGGATGCAGGAGAGGCCCCTAGCCCAGTTTCAGTTGTCAGAGAAGCCTTTGGACCTGGCCTTAAGAGTTTGGACCTGGGAGATCTGTTCAGTCCAAGTCTAGATGGAAGAAAGAGAAGGAGTTATGAAGCTGACGAGGTGGGGAGGAGTGTCCTAGGCAGTGGGAGAGCATGTGGGGAAGTCTAAGGGTCAGAGAAAGTTCGTCATTCCAAAGAAAGTTTAGTGTGACTGGAGAAAGGCATTAAAGTTGGTGAAGGAAGGGCCTTGGTTGAGTTAAGGATTTTGAATGTCATCCTGAGGGGCACTGAAGAGGTTTTAGCAGGTGAGAGAGAAGATCAAATTTGGGTTTTGGCTGCAATGTGCAGAATAGTTGGAGAAGTTTGAGGCTGGGAAGACAGGGGGCGGTCAGGAGGCAAGGCTTAGGTGGCTGTGACCCAGGTGGCAACTCTGGGGATGGATCTAAGGCTGTTCATAAGGTCAAGTGGACAGGACTAATCATACTTGGCTGAGAGAGAGAAGAATGTCAAGAGTGATTATCAAGGAGGGAAAAATAGGAAAAAGAGTAGTGAGAGTCCTGTTCTTCAGGAGAACATTCTAGTCTTCTGACTCTAGAAAGCAAAGCCCAGGGAAGAGGATGAACATCTTTCAAGTGCATTCCATGGGCACTTGTCTTGGTGCCTTTTGTGGCATTGTAAATTCTCATCACAAACCTGAGGGTAGGCAGCATGCTGCC